TTGATGTGGGCCCCACAGCTGTGGTCCCACTCTGTCCGTAGGGTAGAATGTATCTAGTCACAGCTGTGGTCGATTTATCATTCTGTTATTCTAGTCGTTATTTACTTTTCAGTTTTATATTGTTATGTGTTATGATATAAACACCAAGGGCAGATGTGTCCTTTCATGTAACTAGCATAACATATAAATATTAAATTAAAGTGGCGGCGGCAGAATATTGAGATTCTGTTATTCTCCTCAAAACTATGTTCTACTGCTCTCTCACTATTTCTCCTCCTTCTTCACTTTCTCTTCTCTTCGAACCTGAAGTTCCTAAGTGATCAAGACTGATAGCAGTCTTGAACAACTACAATCTGCATCTTTTGAGGCAAACCTAGGGAGCTGTTATCATGCTTGATGAAAGAAGGAAAATATTGAAGAACACGGGTGTCAAACTTTGTTACCATGCTTCTTAGCAATTCAGAATGGCTAATTTATGATGTTTCTTGTTTGGGGAAACATCACTGTTGTTTTATGTGTTTTATTGAAGGTAGTTGCAATTTTGTTTCCTTATAATACTAACCAGCCAACTAGTGTGAGCCAATCTCTAATTACTCTATTGTCTGAATCAAAACACGTGACTTGATTTAGGAGCTGTTGGATAATGGCTGAAGTGGCTGATCTGAATTATCCTTTGACTTTTAGTGGATAATACTTAAATAATACAATTTTGGAATGCATGGGTAATAAGCAAAACTTCAGTTTCAGCCATCAGGTAGTTTGCAACCTCCTTAAAAACTTATTTACTAAAAGACAAATGAATGCGGCTTGATTTAGGAGCTGTTCGATAATGGATAAAGTGGCTGAGCTGAATGATCCTTTACCTTTTAGTGGATAAAATACTTAAATAATACAATTTTGGAATGCATGGGTTATGGGTAATAAACAAAACTTCAGCTCCAGCCATCAAGGAGGTTGCAGCCTCCTTAAAAACTTATTTACTAAAAGACAAATGAATAAATAATTCAGTTCAGCTACTTCAGCTTCAGCCATCAGTCTTAGTTTCCAATCTTGATCAACGGTCTCATGCAATATAAAATTTGGCACTAAGTTTTACTGTTTTAGTACGAGTAGGCTAAATTCTAATGCTCAGTTTGGAAAGAGTAATACAAATATGTAGAGTGCAAAACCTTATATTTTGTATGTATTTATACTGTACATATTTGTATTTGTACTCTTTCCAAACTTGAGCCTAAGTTGCAAAGCTCTCGACAATTTATATGATTCAGTGGCTAGGATATTTGAGTCAAGTGGTACAGACTGATTTGCTTGTAATTAGACCAAATGCAAAGAGAAGAATGAAATTAGTTGGTGATTAAGTGAAAGGCCATATGGGATGCCAGCAGTTAGCTGCGTGCACGTAGTAGAGTTACAAGGCATTTTCAATATCACTATTAAGCAACTCTTTTTCCTTTTCTTTCCCCTTTATGCTTTATATATTTTGGGTGAAAATGGTCTTCTGTTTTAACCATTTAGATCCATTTGAGGACATTTTCTTCTTCTTCTTCTTCCCCTTCTGGTTGCATGGTTTCAGGTTAGATCAAAGCTGTCCACTTTTGGAGGTTTTGGTGGCCCCATTGAAGTTACTTCAGGTGGTAATGCTTTGAAGTTCTATGCATCAGTCCGATTAAATATTAAAAGAACTGGGCTGGTCAAAAAGGGGGAGGAGGTAATAATTCCACCCATTTATTTATATGCACAAATGCACAGGCACTTCTCTGATTTTTCAATAGATAGCATTGGGTCATTATATTGGCTAGATTCTTCTCACCCTATGATGTTGTCTCTTTGATGTGATTTATTTAACAGTGGGCTTCGTTCCACTTGCACTGCTTTTCTGCCTGTTGTGCATTTCTCCAGTCTAATTGAATGAAGCTATAGCTCTTAAAATAATAAATCTTTTGGTGGTATCAATGTGTCTTTTCACTTTTGCTGTTAGACGATTGGAAGCCAAGTTCTTGTGAAGATTGTGAAGAACAAGCATGCGCCTCCATTCAAAACTGCTCAATTTGAGCTTGAGTTTGGCAAGGGGATATGCCGTTACTCAGAGATCATAGAGCTGGGGTGCAAGCACAAGTTCATAACAAAAGCAGGAGGTGCATTCTACAACTTTAATGGCCAGAATTTTCGTGGGAAGGATGCTATCAAACGATACTTGTCTGAAAATGAGGACTGTTTAGAGGAGCTGATGGCAAAACTCCGAGAAAAGCTTATGCACATTGAGACTAATATTGAAAAGGATTCAGAAACCGGAACTCCAGATGGAGATGCATCAGAAGAGATTGTGTCACCTGACACAACTGATGAGGAAGTTCTCGCTATGGTTGAGGCATGAGGATGTACACCCATTTTGAGTTGTATGATGGGCTGCACCATCTGTATGTTCTAGCAAAGACAGAGGATTTGGAATCTGCAGTTGCATATCCTGATTTTATAGGATCATGGATTATGGCAAGGGACACGCTTTGGGTCAGATGTGGCTCTACTTCCTTGGATTTAATATCGTCTACTACTGGGATGCTTGGAAATCGGGGTGCAGGAACAGATTGCCAGTCAACAGCAATCCTTTTCCTTTGTAAGTTATGTGCCAATATGAATATATTTCTTGATTGTATCACTTTTATGAGGTATAGACTGTTGCATGGATGAAAGTTGTCAGTACAATTTGATACGTGGGAAAATGCAGAGCCAGGCATAAAATTTTGCTGGATATGATCCCATGCTGATTGTTTCAAACGATCAGTAATTTTTTCCTTGTTCTTCAGATATACCAAGCACTATCCAGTTACAGAAGCTTTTTCCAAGTGGAATATTTCCTTTGTGTAGCATGAGCAAGATTTTGACATCCTAAAACACATTTCGCGCTGTTGGGGTAGGGTTACTATTCTCTCTTTATTATGGAAATACTACTAGGGATATACACATTGAGTAGGAATAAAATCAAAATTGTGAATGCAAAAGCTTGGGATTCAATGAAGAACCTGTTAATTAAGTGCTGAAACATGCTATGTGCCCCATATTGAGTAGATAAGGATCCAAAGTCCAGTTGGCCTGACCGTGGATTACTGGTTCAAATATTAGGTTTTAGGTGGGGTGGCAACTGTGCATTTGGGTGGTAGCTGGGTCGGATGGAGAAGTAAATAAGGTACTGGTTATTTTTGCTATAACCTTAATTTAGGCGTCCTATTGTGCATGTGTGATGTTATAGGTGCCATCTATAATATATGGTCACAGGACTATCACTCTTCAGGCCGCAGGCTGCAGCACCTCACAATTCAGGTGTACGTGATTTGAGACAAGTAAAACTTGTCATTGATTCATTGGCATCATCATAGACGTAAGGCAGCACGTAGGAGGCAATTTAGATGGGTTTGTTAACATGAACCGGTGTTATTGGTAGGAAAGTGGGTCTCGGTGATATCGGAATTGATTCCAATAATTCACTTCAGTAACCAATAGAGAATGAGTGCAATCTGACTGGCTGACCCTAACCCAATTCTTCTCTTCTTTTACAATTCATAAACGGGATGCGAATCTCATATTTTATTACTTCAATGGAAATAAAATGGTCGTTAAAGTGGAGTGATGGTGGTACTAATACGGATAAATCCCGTTATGTTGTTTCACTTTAAACAATACTTTTGAGTGAAGATTAATACATTATGGAGTTGAAATGTGTCAGAATTCATGGATCGGTGATTGGTGAACAAGAAAACAAGAAATGTCACTTTATTTGAACAATTTCTTTGTTTTAGACCTGCTGATACTGACAAAAGAAAAAAATCTAAAGAAGATTTATGACCCTTGGACTTGCACGCTAGATAAACCTTAAAAAGTTTTGCTAGAAAAGCAGTTCTATATAGAATTTACAGAAGAGATGCATGCATGATTATACCAACTTTTGACACACCCAATGTCTTAAACTTTTGTTCGGCCTGGTGACTTGGGGTTTAATTATTTTTCAAAAATGGTACAGGTTGCAAATTATCTATGTGCCCCGGAGACAATATTCTCCTGATTCTGAATGTATATTGAGGAGGCAAAAGTGTGGATCCAGCGAGGTAGGACCCATAACCAGTCTGGGGTCCATAATTTGCTCACTGGTGATCAAAGTCATATATCTCATTTATGACCAGTCTGATGAGCCCTACCCACACCGTAAACTAGCATTTTGAATCATCTGATTTATAGAGTATTTAGACTCCAAAGTTCAATATTACTTTTAGTCCCATTCAAGTATTTGCTTTAGAAAACACAAATTCTGATAAAAAAGAAAGAAAACGCTTATGAATTTTAAATGGTTTTCGACCCAATTTATAATATTTCAGGTGGGATCCATTGAATGCTTGATTTCATCATCTTTAAATCTTTAATGTAGGCCAGATGGCAATTTAGAGCCCAGCCGGTTTGGGTGTTGTGTGCACAGACCCAAGCTTTTGGCATATGTGAGAAACCGGGGAATGTGTTGTGCATTTTATTCTGGTTATGGATCTTGCACTGCTCTATGGCCACATTTATTAATTGACGACACCTGGCCTAATAATCGAATGTTGGTTACTTTGGAAGAAAAAAAAAGAGGTAGGATGGGGGAAGGTAAAATCTTTATTCTTGTTGTAGTACGCACCTACCAACAATCGAACACCACAGGTCCATAACAAACACATTTCCCCCCGAAACTCCATTGCTGATTAGTGTATGGTTATCACAAGTCAGAAAAACAATTAAACAAAATTATATATTATCTTCTATTCGTCTGTATACCTGAAAGAAATAAGATACCAAGTGAGGCCGAATAGGCTGGAATATGTGGTTGTGTTTTGGACGAGTTCCCCTCCAAACCAGGATTAGAATTGAATTAATTAGCCTCGTTATAACACTAGCAGGAAGCATGGCTTTGGCTTTGGTATCAACCATTTTTTGTGGCTTGCATCGTTCATCTCCCTACTTACTACTTCTAAAGCCGAAATCATTTCTCTCTAAGTACTCTTCGACTCTTCGTGACCCTCTCCACTGATAACCGAGACAAAGCACAAGAAAATAATCAGAAATATATAGCTAAGCTTTAAAAGCCACAAAAATAATCAAAACCCATTAGCAAAAGAGAAACCCTTTCCAACAGAAGCAACAATTCTAACATCCTGACCATCAAGTACAGGAGAGACCATGCTCATATTTGGAGTTGGATACTGTGACCAGTGTCCCACCTGTGTTTCATGGTCTTGTTATCCTCTTCACACTTAGGCGGCCTAGGTGTTTGTCCTCTTGACGTTGTAAGCCCATAAACATCCAAGGCTCCGGCCTCCGAAGTTGAGTTCCGGCTATGAACTGACTGCATTTACTTCCCCTCCACGTTTGCAATAATGCCCTTCTCTGCTACTCCTCAAAATTCTATTATGTTATTGTTCTGGTTCGTCTTTTTATTTATTCGATTGGTCTTATTACTCTGTTTTGCTCTGTTGAGACAGAACAACCCCACATGATTGGTCGGCAGGAACAACTGGAGCCGGAAATCAGAAGCACATTCACCCGTGAAAGGTGAAATCGGAAATGAAGGAACCTCATCATCCACAGTCGTCTTCGTGTCCGGAGGTTGTAAGCTCCGCATGCAATGTGGAAGGTTCCAATTCACTGGAGAGCTGCAGGGGGGTGTGGTACTAAACATGCAATGCAATGGGGACAGAAGAGAGACAGTCGTGGAGGACTCCGGACTCCGGATTCCGGTGGATAACTTGGTTGCGCTCTCCAATCTCCAGTTCATGACGGTTCAGGGTGGTTTAGCTGCCTTGCTTTGCTTCAGTGGAAAAAAAAAAATTTAACTGTTTGTTTGTTGAGCTGAACAAAAGTTGGCCAAGGGTTAATTTGATATTTTGTCAAAAAACTAATGGAAGGAGGGAGGTATTTGCGCCTTTCTTTTTTACTAAAACATTTTTTTTTTCAAAAAAGGAAACTATATATTTATAAGCAGAAAGTTACACGAGATGACAGCAGTGAGTTGAAGTATAACTTAAATTGGCCCTTACATGATATATAAGCAAAAAATATGGGCCGTTTGATTATATTGTCTATGAACATGTTCAAAAGATATAAAACTAAGCAAAGAGATTAGTCTTTTGAGATGATTCTTGTGCAACTGATCAATCCAAGCAGTTTTGCCGGTATTTGTCAAATTTACCAAGGATTCATTATTAGAATATACCAAAAGATGGGAGATGTTGTGGGCTAAGGCCACTCGCAATCCTCCTAATAGGGCTCCAACTTCGGCATCATAACTGTTATTTCCAAGACCAAATTTCGAAGTCTCTGTTCTCATCCCGTGTATTGCAATCCACGTAAGGATGGCAATTTTTCCATCCCCACCCGGTGCCCGACCAAGGGTGGGGATTAATAAGAATCCTTGACTGGGGTGGAGGATGGGACTATTTTGGGTAAACAACTTAAATATACTCTAAGCTTTTATAAATTGACTTAAACATATCTTAGGTTAAAAGAAAGACTTGTATAGTTATATACCTTATGTCTCTTTTATCATTTATTTTCATTTAATTTTTTAAAATATATCCTAAAATTTTCACTCTTTTCTCCTTCTAAATCTTATAACATAGTCAGATTTGGTAGTATAGAAGTTTTGTTTTAGATCCAACCAATGATAAAAGGGATGTAAAATAGGGAAATACAATAACACACTTGTAATATGCATTTCAAAAAAAAAAAAAAGAAAGAAAAATCTGAAACTTAAAACGCATTCATTTTGCATAACTTAAATCCAGATTTTGAGTAGGGAAAATGGAAGTGATAATAATGCATGCAATTAATGTGCCAATGCCAGTTATTTGGACAGGACTGATAACTTAGATTAATATGTTTGTGCCAAAGTCTAATCCATTACAAATCAGCTGCTAAGGATTCAAAACTTAGATCTTCAGGTCTTGCTTGTCCCATTATTATCTCTCCCCTGACCCCTCTCTTCCCTAGTCAGAACTCGGTTTCTCTCTCTCTCTCTCCTTTGTCTCTTGTTTTGTTAGGCAATCAGCATTTTTTTTTCTCTTTTCTCTTACCCCTTTCTTTTTCTTCTTTTCATAAGGACAAATAGGATTTTTAAAATTTTTGATGTGTCTTAGGATATGTTTAAGTCTTTTACCCTTATATTTTAAAATATTTTGTTATTTGTAAATGATATTATATATATATATATATATATATTAAAATATGTTTAAAATAGTATTTATATTTAAAATTTTCTTTTATTTTAAGTAAATTTATTTTAAAAAAAATTCTGTTAATTAAAAAATAATAAATTTGTAGATAAGTACCTTGTACTTTGGGCCTAATCTCACTTTGATGAACTTTAAAATGTGCCAATTCAATACTTGAACTTTCAAAACATGCTAGTTTAGTCCTTGTTGCAGTCCGTCAATTATCCTTGTCACGTGATAAACATGTGACTTAAAACTTTAAAAAATATTAAAATTATCCTTTGACATTATTTATCATATTCTCACTCAAGAATCAAGGTTGAATCAAAGCAACATTGACAAAATGCTTTTCTTTATTAGCTTTTAATGGATTTGGGCATTTGGATGGTTGATAAAGAAAATTAGATGACACCCAAAGGGCATTTACATCCTTTCACACTCACACGCCACTTAACGATGATTAACGTATTTATACTAAATTGACACATTTTGAATTAAGTACTAGATTGACATGTTTTAAAGTTTTGGGATCAAAGTAAGACTAACCTAATGTATAAGGTACTAACTTACAATTTCCCCTTAGAAATTTTGAAAATTCAGATCCCCATAAGAAAACCACCTCTATTAAGAATCATGAATGAAGGACCATTTTTATCTCTAACGGAAATCAGGATCACCGAGGTCGGGGTCGGGAACAAAGAATGCGATCCCCACCCTGAACCCAGCCCGTTGCCAATCTTAGCTCCACTACATCGGTAGGAGACCGGATCTGCTCCCAACAAGGCAACAAATAAAAAAAAAAGCTTACAACACGTTGTGGGAAGCGTTTTTGGTTGGGAGCAGATTCCATGGACGCACATGGCAATAGTAATTTGTAGGAGGGAGAGGGACTGTCGTGACTGACTCGTGAATAATAAGAAGCGTTTCATTTCCTCCTATTCCAATCCAGGGATTCAATTCAACGCATCTCCCCTTTCTTCTTGCACTTGACGAAACAGACTCCAATAGAAACTCTCTCTCTGTCTGTCTGTCTGGAGAATCCCGGTTTTTTGTTTTTCAATCAGATCAGATGGCCGTCTTAATCTCGCACATCCTCTCCTCGTCAGCCCTCCTCTCACTAGGCCTCTACCATCTCATTTCCACCACCCGCAATCACCTCAAATCCCCAACCACCTACACCGCGAAGCCCTACCATCCTTTCTCCCTCTCGTCCTCTCAGCCCCGCATCAAATACCTGCAACTCTACCTCATCATCCTCTCCCTTCTCCTTGCCTTCGCCCACCAGACTATCGTCTCTTCCGACTCTGACCCTCTCCTCAAGGGCCGAACTCCCGTCCACCGTTTCACCTCCCTCCAGTCTGCCGCTGTTCTCTTCCTTTTCCTCCTCCTCTCCGTCTCTCTTCTCCTCTCTGAGATCACCTCCCTCCTCCCCTTCCCCTCCGACCTATTCTTTGCCGTCGCCTCCGCTGTCTTCTTCCTCCAATACTCCGTTTCTTCTGCCTCCGCCTCCGTCCAGACCTCTGACCTCCAAGCCAAATGCGACTCCCTTTCCGCCCGAATTTCGGCCCTCTCGGCCCTCCTCTGTTTGATCCTCGCTTGTCAGCCCAAGCTCTTCGTCGCCGATGTGGGTTTGGGCGCTTCAATTTGCTTACAGGGGCTCTGGGTGTTGCAGACCGGGCTTTCGCTCTATGTTGAGGCGTTTATCCCTGAAGGGTGTCACAGGCTGTTGGATGTGGTGAATGGGGTGGAGGGGTCGACCAAGTGCGATTTGGAGGAGTCGAGGTTGAGGGCAGTAGCGATTCTGGATCTGGTGTTTGTGGTTCATGTGATGTTTGTGGTAGTGATTCTGTTAGTTGTCTATGCTGCGGTGGCTAAGAGTGTCGGGATGAGAAAGCTTGGATCGTACGAGGCGTTGCCGACGGCGGACTTGAATCATGTCCAGATGAAGGCGTTGACGGGAACCCAGGCATGAAATTGGTTGTATTTTTACACCTTTTGTTTTGTTAAATCTTTTTGTGATTTGCAGCCGAAATTGATATGTAGAATCTACTTCTCCTCTTTCCTAGTTTTCCCTAAATATTGTAATATTGTGAAACTTCAGAGGATTTGGTGTATACAAAATGCCTAGTTTTTCGAATTGGCAGCTCACATTGGGGGTTCAGTCATTTCTTCTTTATTCCAGTTTTGATAGATACAATGTATATTCGTTTCCAAAGAAAAGGAACAAACAAGCTTACACGAAGGAAAGGACCGCCCATCCTGTGCATTAACATGCCAGAGACTATCAAAACAGGGTTGTAGGACCGAGGACATACTGCAAAGTGGTGCTGAACTCCTTTATTATGAAAATTATTTGATTTTAATATTAAAAAAATATAGGTTGTATATTGTCCATTGTGAAATTGCACTAAATGGGCGAAAGTGGGGGTATTAGCTACAGTAACACGTTTTTAATGAGCTAAATCTATCCATTTACTATTCTAATAAAACTATATTAGATTTAGTCTTCAGAGCGACTTCTCTGAAGCATCAGGAGAGTTGCTTCTTCAATTTCTTTCATGGTCGGTTTGTTTTATTTTTCAACCTGAAGATATATTCTATTTTTGTTATAGCTCATGTTACCTGTTTGACACTTTATCCAATATTCTGAGGTATAAATTAACAATCACCTGGTCTTCTTGCGATATAATGGTAAGATGTGTGCTGACTGATTGGTAGATTATTTTTTGGCATCTAATTTGAGTTGTTTTGGAGGTTAGAAATTGATCCTAGAGAGGGAAGGAAGGTGAGTTGGTGCATGCGTGTCAGGTATCCATATGGAAATAAGATTTTGCTGTGTAAGATGATATCTTATTATCTTTCCTTGGCTAGTCAGAATCATGCTTGATGTCTTTGCTCACGTTGATGTATATGAAAGCACAAGAGATTTCTGGCATGGCAAGAAGGATCAGTTAGTTTATTCAGTTTTTGTGTTGTTTCTTGAACAATTAGTTCTTTGTGGCATTTGAGTTGTTCTCCCATGCAACTGTGCTTGTTATGGTACAAGGCTTCTGTTTTCTTGTTCTAATGGAAAGATAAATACATAATAATACTTCTTTAGAAGCACAATGGCGAGGACCAATCATTGGTATTTTTTAAGTTGATATCCTGATATTGTTCAAACAGAGCTACCAATAAGGATGACACACCCAAGAAGTGAGACTGCAGCTGAATTCTGAGGGTATGAAGTTGGGTGGAATGCTTAAAATATCATAATATCCCCATTTGTGTCTCAACAGAATTAAATGAAGTGAACTGAGGATTTTCTGATATAAAATCAAGCCTGTCATACTTCACTGTGCCTATTTTCTTGGAAATATGTCCACGTTCTTTCATTAAACACTTTAATGGAGTGGCTAACAAAATTTTAAGAGAGAAGAAAGCAACCGTTCAGGAAGAAACATGGTTAGGTTTTAATGGAACCTTGTATGCTTCTGCATGTCTAAGGTTGTGTTATTTTGTGTTTTTGGGTCTCTCGGAGTCTCTTCTTGTGCTTTTGGGCCTGTGCAGATAATGGTTTCTTTATGGAAAGCTAGAAAAGTCAAGGTTAGTGGATAATGAAAAGATTGCTTTTATGTAGCAGTAACAAAAGGGCATATACATTTGTCATGTGATATGAAGTTGGTGCATCTATACTTCAGATGGACAAACATTGGTCCATTCCTTTACCAATGGTTGTCTAGGCTAATTTTTCAGTGAAAATCTTTGCCGGAGCAAGCTGGCCTACTGGAGCTGGAGCAGGGTGGACTGAGATGGTGGACATGGTGCTATAGAAAATTATTTGATACTTGTACCAGATTGCTGATATCTATAATTCAAGTAGTGGTAGCATGAATTGCTATGACATAACATGGATAATGTAATTTTTTAAAGACTCTGGGGGCTAATCAACTAGATGGCAGGGGGATCTTGGTTAGCATGGATATTCCAACATTGGGGGATAGCATGATGCAAGTTTTCTGTGGTTATTGTAGATTGACTAGCCACTTTTGGCAGGGAATTTAGTTCACCCATCAGGAACAGGAAGGTATTGACACCTCCAAGGAGTCTGTAGGCAGGAACTCTTATGGTGTGGATCAACTTGCAGTTGTTGGACATGGGATCAGAGGAAACGGAAATGATGGTGCCCTCTGATGGTAGGCCCAAGATCCTGCCTATGTTAGCGAACCATCATGATTTGAGCTTTGCTTTTATGCAAAGCATGAATTTTCAAATTCACCATAAGATCGGCAATATAATGGGAAGCACCAAATGGAACCAGGGCTGTGGTTTTTGAATGCAGTTTTAAAAAGCATTAAGGCATGCAGTATAAATGAAGTTAATGTTTTAGTCATATGTGGGGAAGTATATATAACCCTAAAAATAGTGGCTTTTTAGGAGATGGAATGGACGGATGTTACCCACTCAGACTCAGGTATTTTAACAGTCTAGGCTGTCTAGCTATGGCTTTGTTAATCCATTATCTGAATAGATTAATTTCCAGCTCAAGAGACCCCCCCGATATTGTGAATGCCACATTCGCTCTAACACCTTGTTTCCTCTTTATGTTTTGGTTAGAAGTAAAACGTATTTAAGAAAAAAAGTGAACAAACAAAGAGTCATGGTGTATGGTAAACTGGCCAAACCGCCAAATACAATCCAGTCACATGCTGGCTTACCTTCCCCCCCCACTTTTTTTTTATGTATTGGTATTCGTATTTGGTGGTTGTGGTTTCATTAATGGTATTTTCATTTTACGTCTTTACTCTCAGGTGGAATTGGATGTCTCACTCTAATGGTGGTACTTTTGTAATAGACTGGAAAAGAAATTATCCCCATTTCCCCCTCGTGCACTAGAGATGGAAGAGATCTCAATGAGCATAAGCTTCAAAGTTCAAAGTAAAAGCTTGTCCACATTCATGCATTCCATGGTTTCATGCGTTTGTTAAAAATGTGGCTTCCACCACGCGATGCCCTTAATAAAAATGAAACTTCGCTGAGGGGAGTATCTCTTCTTTTTTTTTTTTTTTTCAAGTAGGGAACAAGTTTAGTTAGGTTCCTGTCCGTGATTCAAACACAGATTAATGCTACTAATTTGAACCAATTTACAAGGATAAAATACCTTCCAGAAACCCATATTTGATGCAGCAAAATGGTAGGACCTAATCCATCTGCATTTTTTTTCTTTTATTTTTTTTAGATACAAGAGGAAAGGATTAGAACCAGCGGGGAGAGCACGGTCAATCCGCTGCGAAATTACCTTCTATGCAAGTGTAATTGTAGGTGATTGTTGACGATGCATGGTGAGTGATTCCTGCATTCATCAGCCAGAGTGACATGTCCATGGAGCGGTGATGCTACCCTGCAGAAATTTAAAAACTAGTAGAGAATCTCCTATGGTAATGATGTATTAGGGAACTGACGAGCTAATTTGTGAGCTTCCAAATCAGCCCAAATTTCTGCCACTGATATGGAAGTGTTTCCAATTTTCCCCCATTTAGCTTTGAAGGACCTCGCCCTTGCAGCCGTGAACCATGGGAGCAGCTGCCATCTAGTTTAGCAAAAGCATCAAGTAAATTTTCAATTCGGCATGGGCGGGGGACATTTTATCCAGTTAAGGTTGCCGCTAGCTATTGTATCGTAGGATAGTTTTATATCTACATAATCACTGACATATTTATAAGCTTTTGCGACGATAGTTTGGGGGAGGATTTAGGATTGAAAACTTGTTCGTTCCTGTTCTTCCCAAGGATCCACGACGTTATTTGTGAAATACAACTACCTGCGCGGCCGCGGGGATCATACATTGCGTCGTTAGAGGGGGAGGTTTTATATTACTTCATCATTTCATGTCGTTTAATAACCCCACTTGAGATTCAATAAAGTATCGCACATGAAAAACTATAGCAAGAGTAGGTTGAGATTAATCCATCGGAGCCAGTCAGTTGAGTTCCCTCACAAACTAAGACAATTTCACTTCAGATAAAATACACTAAAGGTAGACCTCTCCAGTTTGTCGGAGGCCAATCCTCTGACAAGAAACACCTTAGTACCTCACACTCATAAACAATTTACATTCCACACAACATCAATGTCCACGTAAAATCCAGGGCCGGTTTTGGCAGAATTTAATCTCTAGTCCAAGCAAAACTAACATGTCACAACCCCCCCACTCTGACCATACAGTTTTATTGTACAAAATAGCTATCCCTCAATTCTTTCTCTGGAAGACAATTAGGTGCAGGTGCGTTTGTTGGGAATATGCAGCTCGACTTTTCAGCAATTTCTGCATCTTGTTCCAGTCATCCAGAGAAGTAATTCTTCGCCAGTTTCAACAACCAAACAGGTATTCTTCCTATATTGTCTCCTCATACCTTAAGGGACCCGTGAATCTTCTCTCTATCACTTAAGCCCTGTTGAGTTCCAAACTCTGCAGCCAACGCATTTATATCAGGCGTTATCTCCCAGTTGCCCTTCTCGCCTACGTTTGTGTGTCTTGGCTGGGTTCCACATCTCTCTAAACTAGCAACACTCCCTATTTGACTCTGTATGTCTTCAAATTCCTCTGCAACAACAGCCTGTCGTTTCCCACCCATCTCAATGTCAAAGCTTGTTTTAGGCATCTCTGGGCTCATGACATGGCCCAATGAGAGTGAGGGGGCGAAGGCAGAGGATGAGTCCTCCTTTATCCTTGCCCTGAAGTTGTTTTTAGAACTTGGAATTTTAGAGAATAAGATTTCCCTAATATTGCGAGCCCATCCAAGGTTATAAGGGTTTGTCCGTCTATCATACCGATACCGGAAGTTTTCATATGTTGTCTGCACAAGAAATTTATAGACATATGAGAAATGACGAAAAAAAAAAGGTAAAAAACACATGATGAATAACTGTAAGGCATAACAGTTGACAGCAGCAGAAGGAACCTGATTGGTGCAAATTAAGTAGAGATGAAATGCCGTTAGTCCTCCAACAAACCAAACAGCTAAGAATGTGTATAATATAAGAATCCCTGAGAGTGGGGATCTCAGAAGAGCTTTCCAGACATTACAATATTCTGCATCCATTATCTTCTTGATGTTTACCCAGCAGAATACAAAAACATAAAAGCACAGCATGGTTGTAGAGGACACAAACATGAAAAAGAATCGGTAATTTCTCTGCATGGAGAGAACAATAGAAGTATCAGTGAAGCCAATTGGAGGCACGAAGGCAAAATGAGAAATAACCAGTAGAACTCCAGTAATTAAAATCAGCTTTAGGCCCTAGTTTTATAGGCCACAAAATTGCCTCACATAAAGGCAGGAGGACAATTGTAACCCAGGGGATGGCTGCAAATAATTAAAACCAGCTTCTCGGCCCTACTTCCAAAGGTAGTCTGCAAGGACGGCTGAAACAATTCATACAAAACTTTCCCCTTTTCTGCAATTGTTATCCAGGGAATTAATGAGATAGATAATATCATAAGCATTAGATTTATAGCATGCAAGCTTATCATCAGTCCAGGTGATCCAATCCAATCCAATCATGTATGCCATGTAAAAAGTACAGCCCCATTAGATTTTTCATATAACATGTATTTGAATGAATAAATGCATGCTTAAATTTGTAAATGCCAATCAATGATTATGATGACAACGGCCAATTTGAACGTTCAGACTGATTAAATTTTTCCAAAACTAATGATAGGTCAAAACTCAAAAGTTCAAGGTAACACAATGAAGAATAAGTTAGAAAACTAGATAATACCTTCCCGATACACTGCCCCACCCAGGGGCAATGGTGATCAAAACGCTCAACACAGTTATTGCAAATGGAGCAATGAGAGCATCGGGGTGGACGATATAACATGCATGTGTGGCAGTACTTGACCTTAACTATCATTCCATTGACAATGACATCTTTTACGGGTGGCAAACTTGGGACCCCACCCTGACTTCCTGTCCAGCTTGAAGATACAGTAGAGGCTACTTCACTTTCATCATCCGGTTCTGGAGGGTGAGGATTACGAGGAATAATACCCGGATCTCTCCCAGAAGTAAGAAAGAGAAGAATAATAATCTGCATAATTGAACAAGAAAAAAGTCAATTGGCAGATTTCTTCATGAGAATTGGCCAAGAAATTAAAGGACAACCTGAAAAATAATTGCATTCACTCTTATTCTCTCAATGACAAACCATGTACTGTCTCTTCCCCTACTATTTTGAAAAGCTTCTTGTATTTTAAATTACTTTGCATTTTAAAGAATCTGAAATGGGATAAGGCATAGATGATGATGATGATGATGATTAAAGAATCTGAAACTTCATCTAGTTTAATATTTCTAACAAATTTTGAACCAACACTGCAAAAATAGGGCATTTTTCACGATTCATTTTCTCCTGTTGGCCCCGTACTTTTTTTTTACAATTTTATTTTTCAGTACTACAGAAAGATATGCAATGTCCTTATTGAATGTTTTTTGCCCTAAAGGTTTTACAAGCTCCTACCCAACCAGAAAAAAAAGGATAGAAAGAAAAATGCATTAACATTTTTTCAGATATATTTAGGATTAGCATATTTTTCTGTAACATAGGAAGTATAAACCATGAAATTGAGATGAAGCTCTAGACACCCCCCCCCCCATTTAATAGGAACTGAGAAAAGGAAGAACTCACATATGCTGTGAAAACCACGCAAATTGCTACTATGAGATTGCCAAGATGGTGAGGAAACTCATTAACAAGCCTTCGAGAAACAAAAACACTAAATAGGATCACTGGAGTTACAATTAGAAATATTGTAAGTGCCAGTGACCTTACATCTGGACCGAATATAAGCCTACCACCCAGGAAGAATCTCTGTAAAATTTTAAAGAGCAAGTCAGTTCCTTTTTACAAAAATGAGAAGCAAAGTAAACAATTAATTGATCTTCATTAAAAGGAACGATCTATGGATAATGTTTAAGAGGTAGAAATATATGTTAACATATCAGAGAGGCAATCAGTTGCTCCAGAAGAATCCTTGATTCATTATTCAGTGGATTAACTACAAATTTTCCATTGCAAGATGCTAAACTGAAACTATTATACAACTGAATTCAAGTCAATACCAAATCTTTAGTTTTCAAAAACTAAAACACCAAATGGTTTTGTTCCACTAGATCACCGTGTACTAACAAAAAACAGAAGAATTATTGGGAATGATGCAGTAACATGGTATTAGCTTTTTTTTCTCTCTTTTTTTGGAGGGCATAGGTATGTAAGAGCAAATTGGAGAACTGTAGAAAGGATAATTTGAAGAGATGCTATTAGAAGACCGAGGATCATGGCACTTAACAAGATAACGTGGTAAAGGTAATAATGAAGAAAGTCCAAGTAAAGTAATTTTTTACCAGTAACAGCAGCCATATTAAAAAGAGAAGGGAAAGGAAGGATATTGCAAAACCACTCATGATAGGGAGGGGTTAGGAACCATAGCCACAAAAGAGGGCTACAACAATGGGAAAACCACTAAAATGGGGAAAATAACTAAACCCAGCAACCCAATTCCCAATATGATGAATTCCTCCCCAACCAACTCTAGAAAGTTTTCCAACCATCAAATTGGCAGATTTAGGATTCATTTGACCAGGCTGTTCACCTTGGAAGCCAAGCTTCTAGCCTGAATGATGTGATGATGACACAAGCTCCAAGGGCCGTCCTGTCTATCCCACATACGTTCAATGACAATCAGAGAATCACCCTTTGTCTAGACGCACTAAATAGCAGGACGGTACATCAGATTGAGTGTCTGAAGTAAAGCATTGGGTGATATGTTGCTCCTAGAAAGGATGGCTTGCACCATTCCCAAGTTGCTACTAATTATCTATGTAATTCTTTAAGTCATAACCATGAGCATCTAATTTCAACAATGTGGGGGTGGACCACCGGATGCTGTTCCTCTGTCTGGTCGATTAAGGAGTGAGGTTTTGAAAGGAACAGAAGAGGTAAAAGTACAACTCAAACTGGCATTGTAATACAATCTCGCAATGTGCTACTGAGAGAATAACAACTCAAGACCTATTCTTATGGGACAAAAATGGAAGCAAATTCTATCAAAAACTTTCTCCTGATATTCTACGAATTTCCTCACCGAGCCAAATCCTATATGCCGTGAACAAGTTTATATAAACAAATGAAGATAAATAAGGAAAATGCCACAAGACAGCGAGGAGAAAACATTTGAACATAATTCCAAAGCAAAGAAATTCGTGCAAGCTGAGCTAAACACAACAATAGAAGAAAAGGACAGGAAAGGCATTAAAGCACTACAGAAAAAGATGCAATTTTTCAGAAACTATATAGATGTTGACAGAGAGAAGCAAAGGAAGGAAGCTCACGTTGCTTCCTTTCCAGACTTGATAGACTCGCTTCGACGGCCCATTTGTGTCGATTATCCGTCTATTGGAATCAGAGAGCTGAGGTGGTGGAGGAGTAGTGTAAATCTTTCCCTGCATTTTAATCAGATCTTGGCCCCTAGAACTCCAAGTTTCAATGTCTCGAAAACATGAAGATGTGCAGACAAATCCGCGATCTACAATTTTAAGGACCGAAAATCAAAATCAAGCATATTTACCGAAAAAAAAAACTGGGATTCCTTGAAATGAGAGAAAAAAAGTTGATTCCCACTTGAAAAGAAATGAAAATTCAAAGATAATTTCACCAAAACCACCAAATGAAGCAAGAAGTAGAGAAAATCGAAGATAGAATATCACACCAGAAATCGAGAGAAAAGCGAGGAGAATTCTTTACAAAAACAAAAGATTAATAAAAAAGCACTAGAGTTTACCTTGAAAAATGAAAAAGCAATGGGGGGGGGGGGAAGAGATAACCGAGCCCAAGCTTTCAGCGAGAAAAGTAGGAACAGGTAGCAGAGACTGAGAAAGATTGGTGAATCATTAAAACCCTAGCTTCGGTGGAGGAAGAGCAAGCTGTGCTGTTGTAACGGATCGGCTCGGTTTCGGTTTCTCTAGCCCGGTCTGAAAGAGGAAGGGGGGG